TGAGTAGAAACTTTAAATTTTATATTTTTATGGTGAAATAGGTTTGGTTTTTTGTGACAATAGTTCTCTCTGCGTTTGGGAAATGGAGGGTAGGATATTTGGTTGAAATAATTTTTCCAACTTTTGTAACTTTGTATTAAAACAATGTTCTTTTCCCCCCTTTGAAAAGTTTGTGGGTTCTGATTCTTCTGAAGTAGTTAAACTTCGCTAAGATACTGCACATTATCGTATTTCGCAAAAAGTATTTCCACTTACACTTGTATTGCTTTGTTTACTACTAATCTCACAAATGCTTTTATAGGGCATACTCATGTGGCAGAGGCACTAAAAGTTCCTATTCATGTATTTTTCACGATGCCATGGACGTAAGTCTTGTTTGGGTAATGGAATCTTATTGTATACTGCCTCAATTGCTTTGGAGTTTGGGTTTCTGCCTTTTTCAATGTTTTGTCATCATCATTGACAGTGTTTAAAGTTTAAGTATGCATTTTATATGTTTTACCTTTTCCTACCAGGCCAACTAGTGAGTTTCCACATCCTTTGTCCCGTGTCAAGCAAACAACTGGATATAGGGTAAGTCCTCTGAATTTTAACCTTTATTTATTTGTTTAACATTTTATATCTTTCACTTCCTGATTTATAATTAGTTCTAACTTTTTGTGCTATGCAAATTCTCAGCTATCGTACCAAATTGTTGACTCCTTAATCTGGCTTGGTATACGGGACATGATTAATGATGTTCGCAAGAAAAAATTGAAACTAAGACCTGTCACATATTTAAGTGGTTCGCAAGGCTATGATTCTGATGTACCATATGGATATATATGGAGCCCCCATCTTGTTCCTAAACCAAAAGGTACTTTGGTTATATTTTAATTGCATGTTTTGATTCTTGCATTTATAACCATTTGGAGTCCCTCAGGGTGAACAAGGTAGGATTGTTTTGAGAAGCTTGTAAGTTCAACAGAACTGTGGCTGTAGGCTGAGTGCCAATAATGTGGACAGTGCTGTCTAGTAGAGTATTATCGGATTCCATTTACTGGCGTACCTCTATTTTTTTTTTCTATTTTTTTTTTATTATGGAACATTCTTGCTTAATAAGGTATGAATCTTGGCAAAGTAAGCCAATGTATGTCAGTCCTTACTTAATAATACTTGGTTTGCAGATTGGGGACCTAAGATTGATGTGGTGGGGTTTTGCTTCCTTGATCTTGCGTCAAATTATGAACCTCCAGAAGCACTTGTGAAGTGGCTTGAGGCTGGTGACAAGCCTATATATATTGGCTTCGGTAGCTTAGTGAGTTTTGTTATTTATTCAATCATTACTCGTGAATATATACCTATTTATATCTCTGCAAGATTTCCTATATAGTAGCATACTTGAGCAACCTTGGGACTTGTTTGAGTTTCATCCAATCTTGAGGATGGCCTCCATAATTATCATCAATGATAGAATGATTGACTTGCTCAGGTCACCTTTTATTCACTTGAAAACCTAGATCTTGTATATGGAGAATGCAATGTCGTTCTAAGTCAGTTTGAGTTTATGGTTATGTTGAATAATCATGAAGTGATCTTTGATTAACCACTTAGTACAGAATTGAGATTTCTACTGTTGTTAGTCTACTGCAAGCTAAAAGAATGGATCTGGTTAGTTAGACGACCAAAGTTATTCACCATCTCATGGATAAAAGAATGGTGCTCTTCAGAGACAACCTTTTACTGCTTAACACAGAGTCACAGACACACTTACAATTTGTACATGCATGGATGCGTGCATACACACAAGTTGACAAACACGCATTTGCAATTACACACATACCTGCATGCATGCATACATATGCAGCTTCCATGACCAGAGTCCACCGCTTTGTGTCAGCCTGTTCAAGAGCCCCAAAAGATGACCCAAATAATCGTGGAAGCATTGGAAAAGACGGGGCAGCGGGGTATCATTAACAAAGGATGGGGTGGCCTTGGGGAATGTAAGTTTCTATTTCCCACAAGCTTAGTATGATTTCATTGTTGTTAGGAGCTTTGTATTATTCTCCTTTTTCCCTATTTAGCTGACCTTTTGGAATACACTGATTTATTTCACATGATTTCGCCTCCTCAGTGGCCGAACCAAAGGACTTCATATACTTATTGGACAACTGCCCTCATGATTGGCTGTTTCTACAATGCAAGGCTGTGGTGAGAATGAACACCTTTGTTTTGGGCTTTCATCTGTAGTTTTAAACTGAAAAGCTAAAGGGGAAACAGAAACAAGGAACACCACCATGTAGTCGGGTCTATTATTGTGGTTGGATAAGGATGGCAATTATTTTTGTCGGATGAAGAAGGAACATCACCATTGATTTTGTGATCTATAGGAGACTATAGGAGAATAATTTCTGATGGGCAAGTGTATGTGAAGTTATTAGGATGGTTACTTGTTACTTCTAAAATTTCATTCAACGATTTCTTAATATTTCCAGTCTGCAAGTGTTTGTTTCTCGACATGCTTTAGGGTAGTTTTAGATTTTAAACTGTTCTTATGGTTTTTTGCCTGCCTTCAGGTGCATCACGGAGGTGCTGGAACAACAGCTGCTGGTCTCAAAGCTGCAGTAATTGTTTTATAACCTATCTTATGGTTGAATACTTTCAGTTCATGTGATTTATCATTTGCCTAAATGTGTATTGTGTTTCTATTTTAGTGTCCAACGACGATTGTTCCGTTCTTTGGAGACCAACCTTTCTGGGGAGAGCGAGTACATGCCAGAGGAGTGGGCCCTGCACCCATTGCAGTTGATCAGTTCTCACTTCCCAAGTTGGTTGATGCAATAAATTTCATGCTTGATCCCAAGGTAATCTTTTTCTTTTTTTTTTTTTCTCTGAGAAAAGTTGGAAGTTTTAGAACTGACTATATACATTTGAAGGCATGTAAAATGCTACATGAGTGGCGAGATTCGATATGCAAGTTTGCAAATCTAGAATTTGTTGTCGGATGCATGCCAAAAATTCCCAATCTAGCTGTGTTCAGAAAAGGTTTTGATTAAAAAGAAAAAATATTATACTATTATCGGTGTTTCTATTTTAGAGGTTCCAGTGGGGCATATAAAGAACTTCAAAAACTTTAGTAGTAGTTAAATCACAAGCAAACTTTTTACTTTGTCAGTTGTTTGGTTTTAATAAGAAGTCTTCACGAAATGGTGAGAAGGTTTATTATCTTGGTGGATACCAGGTGAAGGAGCGCGCTGTCGAACTTGCCAAGGATATGGAGAACGAGGATGGCGTCACAGGAGCAGTAAAGGCCTTCTTTAAGCATCTTCCCTGCAGGAAACCTGACCCCGAGCCAGAAGCAGTGCCGTCAGGTTTTCTCTCTGTAAGCAGATGTTTCGGTTGTTCATGAATCCTGGATGCCATTCTGTCTGTTTATTTCTTCCCCGCAGCGTAGGGCTGAGACGCCCCAAATGTGCTCACAAAGAAAAGAAAAGCACAGGTCCCTACTTTCTACTCTTGTTCATAATTCTCGATCTTGAAAATGAAATTTGTAATTAGTTTATATTGTTCACTTTCAACATTCATTCGCAGAAAGGGCATTTGTTCTGAAGTTTGTAAAATTTACATTAATTTGCAAATGAAATCTTGTTTCCCCTTAAAAATATTCACCGGGGCCTTCTGTTTCTTCGGAAATTCTGCCATACAGCAGGGAGGTATGGCCATTAGACTAGCATCCAACGACCAAGATCTAACGGCCAAAAATCTTAAATCTATATAATATCTCATGACATACTTGAAATCTGTTGTTTTTGCTGTCACAACCACCAGTTCCAGTTTACAAAACCATCATTTCGTTTGGGTTCTGAGCCTCTGGGTTGGTGCCACGTGTAAACGGAGACATGCTGATTGGCAAGTATTGGGTTCTTGTAATTGGGCAAGTGGTATGTGGCAGGGCAGTGCATTGCATTTGCATGCAAATAATATATTTAAAAAAAAAAGGATGAGATATGAGAAGTGGATTGGCGGTGGGGAGTTGGGGGAAGAGGAGACTAGTGGCCGTTAGCCCCATCACTCCATTTATAGAAATTTGCAGATGATTAATGCTGCTGCTGCAGAGGAAAAGAAGAAGCCATTTCCCCATTTGCATAGAGAGAGAGAGAGAGAGAGAGAGAGAGAGAGAGAGAGAGAGAGAGAGATTCCATTTGCCAACCCTAATTAATCATCTGTTTATAGTTAACCAATGACTTACTTTTTCCCCAGTTATCTATAATTTAGTGGTTTGATGGGCACTAATTAAGTTAGGTGGTTGATTAAGTGGATGAGTGAATGAAGCTCGAAGACTCGGAACATTTTAGGTAATCAGGTCCCCCACAGATTTGGAAAGACACTGTTGCCCCAATGCAAAACCTGTGTGCAGGCTGCAACTCTTGAGTGGAGCGGTTTCTTATCTTGACGACTGTTTTTGGCAATTAACCAAGTTGACAAGTTTTAAGAAAACTTAAAGAGTAATCAAAGTCAAGTGGCTAATTAATTAGAGAGAATAATCAATGTAAGTTAGAGTGTCAAACTAGTTAAGGACCTCTTTGATAGCCATTTTGTAACTGGATATATTGGGGCAATACCCTAAGGATACATGTGCCACCGTCCGCCACTCAAGTGAAGTGGTTCCTTATCTTGACAATTTGTTTGGTAATTATTTTGTTTTATTATTATTTTATATTTTTTGTGAGTCAAAAATAGAGGGACAATACATGGTAAGAGTTGATTTTCACACATTTTTTAGTTTCTCACACTCATCTTAATTTATGGATATGAGATTGGTTAAACAAACTGAATTAACAAACATAATTTAATAAACATGTAAGAGACTAAAAAGTGTATATTTATTCTACATGATTCATAGAGTGGTTTTTTATTGGGTAATACTAGAGACTAAATTTGTATACAAAATTTTGTAAATTAAATGACATATAAGTTGATGATTAGATTATTACTTAAGCATTGATAAACGTGCTCATTCCTATTGATGACATATCATTTAGTTTGCATTACATTCTTTAATTATCTCAACAATTTTATTTCATAATTTTTTGACAAGGAAATATTTTGAACTAGTCTAATTTATGTGGGGAGAAATTCGAATTCATATGAAAAAAACCTAGGCACACTTATCTTTAGCCAACTTGCTTACGTCTGACAATATTTTTGGTAATTAACCAAGTTTACAATTCAAAGAAAACCCAGAATAATGAAAGTCGTTGCTAATTATTTTAGAGAGAGAGAGAGAGAGAGAGAGTGGAAGTCAGATTGTGAGAGGAAGCTAAAGCTTACATGATCAGGTTTGTGATCTCCAAGGCCAATGTGGAAGGATTGGGTGACTTAAAAGCTAAAGCCAGTTCCCCACTTGTTCCTACAGACTCTCTCTCTCTCTCTCTCTCTCTCTCTCTCTCTCTCTTATCTCTTGTGTTCCCAAGCCCATACAGCCCTCTGTGTCAAGCACTCTATTTAATAGTTATACTCAGAGACTCTTCACATTTTCCAACTCTTTGAGAAGTTAGCTTCTGAACTCTCTTATTTTACACTTTTGATCAGAAAACAAGCCAAACGCCAAGACACTTCTCCCACATTTTCCTTTGTTTTCTCTGTCACTCTCTGCTCAATTCATACCATTTCTTCACTTCTTCTGCTCTTCTACTCTTTCTCAAGGTTGATTCCTCAACATTACTAAATTTTCCCCACCTGGGTTTTCGGTCTTTTCGAATTTTCGTTCACCTTCGTGTTCTGATTTTCGTTGCAGACATGGGAGACGAAGAGAAAGGCGTCACGGAAGTTGATCACCAAGAGAGCAATGCAGAAGAAGATAGAGACGCAAACGCAAGATTGTTTCCGTGCCTCTTCTGTTCGAGAAAATTTTACAGTTCTCAAGCCTTGGGAGGCCACCAAAACGCTCACAAGAAGGAAAGAACGGCTGCTAGGAAAGCTAAACGCGCTTCTAACCACGCTTTGTCTATGAACTTCCCTATACTATCCCCTAACACACAACCTCACATGGTTTTTGCTCCAAACCATCATTTAGGCCTCTTGCATCCCTATATAACTGCTCATGCAGCCAATCTCCGATACTTTCCAAATCCTAACCAGTTCTCATCAGACTGTTCCGGATCCAACGGAGCACCAAAGTTTGAAAATTCTATGTACCATGGCGGGAATGGCCTGTCGTCGAGCAATAACGTGAACGGTTATCAGTGTGAGGAGGATGAGCAAAGTTTCTTGAATTGGCAGAGGAGCGTAAGATACAATGGATTCAGTGGAGGAGGTTCATCACAGCAGTCATCAAAGGCGAATGGGGATCACAATTCCGGGATTGGTGGTGGTAGTAAGGGTAAAGAGCAAAAGCTTGATCTTTCTCTCCATTTGTAGAAATACGGAGGGTGAATAGTGTAGTTGCATTTTTGGTAATAAGCTTCTCTCTAGCTTTTACTTTCCATTTTTGAGATATTGTAATTGCCAATTTATCTTGACATGATTAGTTGGGATATATTGCATGAGAAAGAATGGGCATCCTACCTTATTGTTAAAGCATCCCTTAATTTTAACCACAAATTTTGACTCTCGCTTCAATTGAAGCTTAAATTTCCCCGCTCCTGGTGAATCACATGTTGGTGGTCAGGAAAAGCTAAAATGTCTTGTGAGTCTTCTCGGCCCCCGAAAGGATGAGTTGCCGTGGCCACCAACTGGCCCTTTTAAGAAGAAAGAAGGAGAAACGATTTCTATACACATTTTCTGCACACTTTAATTTAATTTTTTAATTCTTCTTTAGTTTATCCAATTTGATAAGTACAAAATGAACATGAATGTGCTGTGTGCATAAGGAGAAATTTAGCGTGAAAATATTTTGGTTTAAACAGTAGTTCAACTTAAGTTTATAGAGAACAAAAATAGTCGAGTTGTTTAGAGCAAGAAAAAAAAACCCAACTTATATGAATGGGGTGAATTGAAGGCACAACTCATCAACACTTACATTTACAAGGGATAAAACGAGTGTCCTATATACGCATTATGCCTTCAGTTCAATTGAATGTACATGAAATTGACAATTTGTTTCTAATTCCACTAAGGTTAGTTGTCATAACACATGTTATGTTGTAAATTTAGTAAGATGTAAGTTTGGTTGATAATAACAATGGTGCGATTATGTGAGTTGTTGGTACGTCTCTATAAAATTTTGACGTAGTATTGATTTCTACAAGGTTGTGCAGCAAAACTGAGACTGTAAGGAGTGAAAATCCTAACTTCTGCACGAACAATATTCTCCTACTCCTAGAAAGTTTTTCTTCTCACACAAGGAATAGGAAGTTGATTCCTATTTGTGCCAGATACATATGAACACCCATGGAAATCAGTTTGGGCTTTCTGCATGTCATAATTTGGGCTTCAGATTTGGGTGTTTGAGGTTTTCTAATTGGGCTTCAAAATCAACAACTTGCTTTTTGGGCCTATCTTCCTAGTTTGTTTTATCAAACTTCTAGTTTTTTTTTTTTCCTTATGAACAAACGATATTATTTACACTAAGGAGTGAGGAATGTAAACTAAGAAGAAGAGAATCACAGATAGTAGTCTTAGAGAGAAGTCAGAGAAAGAGATTTATAGAGAGAGAAAGATATTTCTATTTCTTTTCTTAATCACCAAGCTATTACACTATAAGAGTATATATACTACACCCTACTTACATTTGCATATTCTTAACAACTATAACTAACTCTCTTAATCTGTTTACAAGTGTCACAATCCTATGTGTACATTATCTCTAACATCCCCCCTCAAACTCATGCATGGGAGAAGAACCAAGCATGAGATTGGTACAATGAGTCCGAAAGAGAGGAGCACTAAGACCTTTGGTAAGGATATCGGCAAACTGCTCTCCGGAAGATACAAACTGCACAAGTAACTTCTTTTGAGCAATCCGTTCACGAACAAAATGAACATCAATTTCAATATGCTTGGTCCGTTGATGTTGAACGGGATTGAACGAAAAGAGCAATGGCGGACAGGTTATCACAGAAAAGCACAGGAGCACAAGACAGAGGAATGTGGAGAAATGTAAGAAGTTGCTGAATCCAATCAAGTTCAGCAGCAGTGGAGGACATGGCTCGATATTCGGCTTCAGTTGACGAACGAGAAACTGTTTGTTGTTTCTTAGAAGACCACGAGATGGGATTGGAGCCCAAGAAAACAACGAACCCAGTTGTAGAGCGCCTGTCATTCGGATCACCAGCCCAGTCGGCATCACTAAAAGCTTTGAGACCAACTTCACCAGCAGTATAAGTAATGCCAGAAGACAAGGTGCCTTTCAAATAACGCAGAATGCGTTTGACAGCAGTGAAGTGAGACACCATAGGGTTTTGCAGAAATTGAGATACTTGATGGACTGAGAATGCAATGTCAGGACGAGTGAAAGTGAGGTACTGCAGGGCACCAACGATACTCCTGTATGTACCAGGTTCTGAAAATGGAACTCCATCATCCTTCAGTAAACGATTATAAGGTAAGCATGGAGTGTCACAAGGTTTGCAATCACGCATTTCAGTCTTGTGTAACAAGTCTTGAATGTACTTGGTTTGTGATAAAAACATCCCAGTTGCTGTGCAGGATATTTGAATGCCCAAAAAATAATGAAGTGTGCCCAAATCCTTGATGTCAAACTCAGTAGTAAGGGACTGGATGACATGTTGTATAGCAGCTGTAGCATTCCCTGTTAAGATAATGTCATCCACGTAAAGCAGTAAAATCACTATCTCAGAACCAACATGCTTCACAAATAGAGACGAATCAGAATAGGTGGAGATGAACCCGAGAGAAGGAAGAAAAGCTGTGAATCTCTCATTCCATGCCCGGGGGGCTTGCTTCAATCCATACAGAGATTTATGTAACTTGCAAACAAAATGAGGATGCACAGGGTCTGCAAAACTAGGAGGTTGTGCCATGTAAACCTCCTCCTGCAGTATGCCATGCAAAAATGCATTCTTGACATCAAGTTGCCGTAGAGACCAATGAAACTGAGCAGCTAAGGCCAGGACAAGCCTTACTGTGGTAGGCTTAACCACTGGACTGAATGTCTCCCCATAGTCTAATCCTTCCTCTTGACTGAAGCCCTTTGCAACTAAGCGAGCTTTATGTCTTGCAACAGAACCATCCGAGTTCTTCTTTATTTTAAAGATCCATTTACAGCCGACTAAGTTTTTCTGAGAGGGCAGAGATACAAGAGACCAAGTACCTTGAGAGTGCAGGGCAGCAATCTCTTCCTTCATAGCAGCCAACCACACAGAGGATTTCATAGCAGTCTTATAAGAAACTGGCTCAATGAGAGACATATCAACATCTCCAGATGGCGCTAAAGAACTGAAAAACACCTTGGGTTTGACTATACCATTTTTACTCCTGGTCTGCATAGGATGCATATTCAATGGTGCAATAGGTAACACCACTTGTAACCGATCGGGGCTGAACTCATGATCCACAGGGAGAGAAGGAGTAGTACTTGATGGAGCAGTAATGGAGGAATAAGAAGGTAAGGAGGAGAATGGAGGTGAAGCAACCATATGTGGAGAATGAACAGCAACACTAGAGTCAGGGGATGGAGGGACAGGTGGAGAGGTTGAGGAAGAAACCGGAGGAAGAGGCACCACCAAAACATTCTGATGGTTAGGAACAGGTGTAAAAGATGAAGGTGAATAAGGGACATGGGCCACACACTATTTTGTTTGGACAATTGAAGAAGACTAAGATAAGGATATTCAGTCTCATTAAAGATAACATGTCTGGAGATAAAGAACTTGGCTTTGGACACCTCATAACAAATATAACCTTTATATTGGGAAGCATACCCCAGAAAAACACACTTGGTGGTCTTAGCTTGAAGTTTGGAAGTGTTGTAGGGTCTAAGTAAAGGATAGCAAGAACAACCAAAGACACGGAGGTGAGTAATGACAGGATTTTGACCATACAAAACTTGAAAAGGAGATTGATTCTGTAAAACTGGAGTTGGCATCCTATTGATTAAGTAAATTGCTGTTTGACAAGCAAAGGTCCAGAATTGAGAAGGCAGTGTGGCATGTTGTAACAAAGTGACAGTAGTTTCAATGATATGCCTATGTTTCCTCTCAGCTAATCCATTCTGTTCAGGTGTATAGGGACAAGATTTATGATGTACAATACCTTTAGATTTCAGAAAAGTGTAGAGCTTAGTACTAATATATTCACCCCCCCATCAGTTTGTAGTATTTTCACAGAAGTAGAGAATTGAGTGGAGACAAATGCACAAAAGGTAACAAAAACATCAGTGAAATCAGATTTATTGGATAAGGGAAACAACCAACAAAACCGAGTGTGCACTCATCAATGAGAGTAACATAGTATTTATAGCCATCAATGGATGTACATGGTGCAGGACCCCAAAGGTCACTGTGAACAATTTGAAATGGTATGACAGACTTGACATGAGTGGAAGGAAATGGTAACTGTGTGAATTTGCCCTTGAGACAACTTTGACACATATGAGAGACAACATCCTGATTACATGGAATATTTGCTTGTTTAAGAAGTAAAGAAACTACATTATTGGATGGATGTCCGAACCTAGTATGCCATAGGCTGGAACCAACAAGATGTCCAAGAAAAGCAACATGTGAAGAATGAGAAGGTAGGAAGCTAGTAGAGAGTGAGTGGATAGGATAGAGTCCATTACTGCACGGGCCCTTGTACATGATTCTCCCTGTGACCTTGTCCTGAATCCAGAAGTAAAATGCATCAAAGATTAGCCAGCAATTGTTGTCCAAACACAACTTATGAACTGACATTAAATTCTGTGTCAATTTAGGAACATAGAGAATGGAATTTAATGTGATAGGATTTTTAGAAGTGTTAAGAATAGAACTGCCAATGTGAGAAACTCGCAAACCTTCACCATTGGCAGTTTGAACAACTTCATTGCTTGGATATGGAGAAGCTAAGGACAAATTGTTAAGATCAGCTGTCATATGTGTAGTAGCACCGGAATCTGTCAACCAGACTTGTGGTGATTGAGAAGGAGATGCCACAGAGCCCATATGAGAAGATGGTGATGTGGGAGAAAATACAGTATTCATAGCTTGCAGGGAAGAGGGGTGAGAGCCATGCAACACCGGAGGCACATTGTAAGAGTATCCCTGCATTGGAGTACCTGCCCGTTGAGAATACTGAGGTCCCATATAGGAAGGCCCTTTTTCATTGTAAAAACAATACCAAGTTGTATGATTGAACTTGCCACAGATTTGACACTGTTGGCGATCAGAAGACTTATTGTAACAATAAGGAGCAGTGTGACCTTCAGCATTACACAATTGACAAGTCGGCAATAGAGGTGCGGAGGGCGACGAACCAAGAACACCAGGAGTAGGTGTAGGGAAGACATGGGTTTGTGTATGATACATTGGCCGAGGAGTGTAGTATCGCTGACCTCCATTGAACTTGCCCTTCCCTTTGTTCTTGTGAACATACGGCTTGAAACCTCCTGAAACACCATAGGATTGACCCCCAGTATGATGAAAGGAATGACCACCGCCAGAGTTAAATGCCTGATTAGAACCTTTGTGCACAGTGGATGAGTTATTA